AATAAATCTAGTGACAACGAGTGGAATACTATATATCATACTGATGTGGGGCCACTATCACGGGACGAAAAGGAGAAGTATTCTAGCAAACCCTTACCTACTGGATGGTAAACATGCATGACTTTGTTGTTAACTCATTAACTGCCTTTTTCGGGCATAGTATAAACATTGTGAATCAATTATTACACTTTATAAATAAATACATAGCCATGTAGTATATTATAGCCATGTTGCAACAGTGAAACTTGCATGCTTCGTCTAGAAGCCAATCAAAATTTTCGACCAATGACATTGATCGGAGAAATTTTAATATGAGTCGCGAGTTTTTGTTTTCTTATTCCCAAGCCCCGTTTGTTCGCGTAATCTCCCTCAACGGTAATATATTTAATTACCAAATTATAAAGACTGGTTATGCCTTTTATTATTCTTAACGAAAGCAATGATTTATTGCAAATTTCGAACCCCGTAAATGTAAGAGCGAAACTGCAACGTCTGTGGGGAGGAGAAGAGAAAGCCCTGTTTCCCTCGGCGATCACTAAACGACAAAGGCTCTTGGTATGCTCAATAATAAAAACAATACTTTATTGTAAAGTTCGAACCTCCTACAGGATGTAAGAGCAAAACTGAACATTTGTGGGGAGGAAGAGAAGAAGTTCTGTTTCTCTCAACAATAATATAAACGATAAAGACTCTTTTGAAAGTAATAAGTTATTGCAGAAGTCGAACTTCCCACAAATGTAAGAGCGAAACTGCTGAACGTCTGTGGGGAGAGGGAAGCGAAGAAGCTCCTTAGGAAACAAGTTTTGAGAACGCTGAAGGGAAAGAAGAAAAGGAAGAAAGAACAATCGGGAAGCTTTTATTCTTTGAGAGGAAATGAAGACTGTCAAGGAAGCTTTCTGGTATCTTATATTTACGCCATGAATAATAAGTCGACGCGATACACGACATTATCACTCAACTCTCCGTCTTCTATTTTATAACGGGAGCAAGATGATATTGAAAAGGACAGTAATGAAGCACCGGACGCGTAAATTGATGTTGTAAACGAGAGTACCAAGACATGTTTACTTATTTAATTAATATGTATTATGTTTAATTTCTTTGTTGTCGCAAGTACACCTTTAGCGTTCAATCGCAAGTGTAGATAATAAAGAACGCAAATCTCCAACTTTCAAATTCTGTGGGAAGGTAGTTGATCTAATAGACGTGATATCTGATTGACCATACAATGATATTTATTTTTGAACAGTTGCATTTTATTTGCTCCCAATTTTTCGATCCCTGCAGCAACTTTGAACGCCCACATTTATATTTTACGGTTTTGCATGTGATAGTCAGTGGATCAAATTGTTAGACTTAAAAATGGTAATACAGTTAATTTGCTGGCTTACGCGTCTGTCGAAGAGCTAGACAAGTTAAGGAAGAGAATAGGCTGGGAAAAGAACTTGGCGTTGTTTATGCCCATGTAGTCGGAAGCATAAAAGGACGAAAATACAGGTGAACGTTGATAAACGGTTGTCTACGCCGGCAATAATCTGCACCGGGCCGCTGGAGATTGTAGTTACTGTATTGAAATAATGAACAGGAAACGGATATACAATAAAAAGGATTGTACATACCAAGAGATTAAAGATCATCGAGCATTTTGGGAAAACATTCGAGTATAGGTTACTTGTCTTAGTCTGAACATCGCACTGTTCCCTATGTACTATGCAAGTTCATGACGCCATTTACACTAAATACGCAATCTCTCTTTTACTACGAAGTCACCAATCTGCGTAAATGCGCTTTACACAACACGTCATCTACAATAGGAATAGACAATTTCCCAAATATTGCAATTATATTCCATTTCGACCGCACTAAGCACTGTCCGTTATATTTCCCCACTTGTGAAATTCCCTCTCGATTGGAAGAGTTACATTAATCGGAAAATTGCCCGCCATAGGTGGATAACCGCTTTTCAATTCGGACGAATTAGTATTGGTCATTTCACTGCACGTACATAAATTTTTGTCGCCAAAGAGATTAACTCCCCATTGTAATCCACGGGTACCCTTACGTTTGTTAAATTAAAATTCTGCCCACTAACGTTAATTAATATTAATTAATAATATTGATTCCGGACCTATTCTTATCGCTTTCATCAACTATGACCCAACACCGACTACGCTTACACATAGTAAGTGTGCGACATCCTCTAGATTTCAAACTTTAATTTCGCCTGTTATTTAGGAGAGATGACAGAATAGTCTAGTAACTTGTAGTCTGAAGATCAAACATTTAAGAAATGTTTTAATCAAGTGAAGTTCCCCACTCACCGCTCCATCTCTTTCAAAAAATAGACCCGATTTGATGAACATAAACAATTTTTGTATCGACAGTGTGTCAGCTACAAAGTAGTAAAGAAATATTTGTTGCTGCTGAAATGAGATACTTCAGAGGAGAGAATGTCGGACTGTGTGGAACTGCAAGATTTATATTATTTGCCACATAAGCTTTCAGAGATTTCAGCATGTACCTGGTCATCTTAGTCTGCGCTTGCATAGATGGAACTTGCTTTGGTTCATAGCGATTCATTGATCATCATAATTAGCTATGAGCAACTTATTATTATGTTAATAATCTCTTGCTTTAGTGGCAAGATATTTAAATATAATGTTATGGCTGACACTACTAATACGTCTGTGAGTGAAAACTCATGGACTGTGAGTGGCAAGCTGTCAATCAGTTTGTGATTTTGTAGATAATACTAAAATTTACCGTTATGTTTACATAATAATAATAATAGCAATTGTACTGAATTTAATAACATAACCAAAACATTAATATTAATGTCTGTATTTATAAATCTACTAAGGCTGAACATCACTCTGCAAGTTTAAGTTGATGCAAAAAATGGAATGAGAAATACTGTAAACTGCAATGAATAAGGGGCCCTCACATGAAAAAATGGCTGCAGTGAATAATTGGCCGTAAATATTATGAAATAGTTACCCCCTTATCACGTCAAGGGACAGCCACTGACATAGGATGACGCGTACATTCGACGCACCACCGCAAAGCATAAATAATTCAACTTTACAAACGTGCTCTGGTAAAACTATAGCTGGTTCTTCCTTCCATATTAAATTGTCTTCTGTACCATTGAGGTCATTAGATAGCCCGCAGGTTTTAAAATAGTTTACTATAATCTTGCATCGAACTATAATAAGAAAGACGAATTTGAAAATCATATGTAATGGTAGTTTGTGATTATGTAATAAACAGAGATAACGTGGACAGTTGTTACGTGACAATTCGTAGATTATTTTGAAAGAAAAACCCGTTTTTGGGACTCGCTCGCGTTTTTTGTAAGTTATATGAAGGTGGGCTCTAATTCATGGCAGTTTATGTTAAGTTAAAAAATACCAACTCATTTATTACAAAAGCAAATTCACTAAAAAAAAAGAGTGCTATGACTATATATTAATATTAAAACTTTATGCAAATAAGATAATAATATTAATTGTAATATGCTATATTTATTATTTATTAGAAAAATTGCCGTCTTCGCTGTTACGATCTGATGAATTAGATAAGTAAATCATGTAATAAAATCTTCTTCCGCAGCCGAACAAACCTCATATTAGTATAGTATACTAGTATTTAATATGTCGTGACGAAAATCCCGTCACAGACATATAATTATCATTTCGTGACAATTTTTCAGTCACAGCGTGGATACTATAATTAACTAAAGTATATTTGTCTTAGAAAATGATACGATTATTTCATTAATTTTCATGACAAATTTCCCGTCACGGTAAAGATATATAAGAAGCTCGAATCCCATCATCATAATAGATGTTTGCTTAACAGGTTTGATATGTTTTGTTGTTGAAATATCGGATAGATCTTTATTCAATGATTATTAAAAATAAAAGGCTTTGAAATCGAATTTTTTTTTCTTTTTTTTTCTTTCTTTCTTTCTTTCTTTCATCGTTAAAATATTAATTAACCAGATATACTATAAAAACGGCTCACATAAAAGCTGCAAGGTTTCGGCATAAACGGTTCATTTAAGCTGTGAAATATCTGTTGATCAATTACGCGAATAGCGGAACGAGAGTTCATAATTAATATTATCATTTAAAATAAGCAAGTAATGTTTACCCGACTAGTCAATAATAATAAACCAAATCGAGTTTAAATTAGAATAATTGATTCCCCTTCGATTCTGCGGTATATTATTATTATACCATAGATACCCCTTATTTGGATACGAGTAGGGGAGGTACATCGTACAGGGAGTAAAGAAGCGCGCACGATAATAGTCAAAATTGGATTCACTTGAAATAAGGGCGGTCACGCAAATGTTACATAGTGTGCGGCATGTGCAGAAATGAACAAATTTGATTTGTCCAATTTCTTTTTACAAATAAAATGCAGACCCTCTACATATGCACAACCCACATATGCATTATCCCAATGGCGTGCATATGTAGAGGGTAGATCGTTTTAAAATTTTCCCATCATTCGCCTGAGATCAACAAACGGAATGATAAGGAGAAGAGTTGACCAATTTTAAACTTTTGCAGTTTTTGAACTGGGCAAAACCAAAAACACGTGGGTATAGTTATAATTGTCAGAATGCATCCTTGTTTATTCTGAGAAATGACCCACTTTAAAATGTGGGATGTCAAGTCCCATATTATTCTGTCAGATTTACAACATAAGCTGCAGTCGTTCCTTTTGATTTGCTAAATTTGAGCTGTCACTCTGTGTATATCGTTTAGCTTCTTCCCAGTGCTATACACGTAATATCAACACAAGATGATAATTTCTTTATTCCTTTTTTGACCAAACCTGATACCCAAATTTCTTTTTTTTTTTTTGTAAACGTATGGTGATGTACTGTTATGAAAAGATGTGTTTATGCTTATTTTACATAGTTTTTTTAAATGCGTATTAAAATTTTTTTTAAGAAAATAATGTCCTCTTAATTGAACTCTCCTCGTGGTTCCTCATCGGGATCACGAGCATCCATAGCAGATATTGCCATTTCATAAGCGAAAAATGTGGCCGCGTTTGCAGGAAACGCGCGTGCCATTGTCGGACCAAAACCTTTAAAGAATGCGCGCACAACTGGCATGCCGCGTGCACGTTGTTCAGTTATGAGTGTTTTGATAGCATGGAATGAGGAACGATACCTGGAGATTGATGGGAGTAAAAAATATGTCAATATACACACATGAAGCAATAAAACATGTTTTGCACACAAACGAGGACTTGGTAATTACTTTAAATTCACATCAGACTGCATTAGACTCTTTATGACATCTTGAGGGTAGCATGGAATCCAACATGCGATCCCTGCCGCTCCACCAGCCAACAACAATTCAGGCAAGAGCAATTGTTTTGTGTTTCCGTTATGGTATCGAGCCGCTAACGTTCTCTTTGCTCCTTCATAGACAACTACGAGTATAAGGAATAAACAAACGTTAGAAAAGAAGAACATGCATTTGACTTGGGACTGGTACATAATCAAACTTACAGAAATATGTGGCAAAACTAGGCATATCCCTGAGTATGTTTACCGTTATGCCCCTATAGAGTCCACGCAAATTGTGTTGTGCATATATTTTAGTGGCCGCATCAAAGGTGCCGTTATAGAGTTTTACCGCATTATCTCTCTGAAGTTGCAACCGGATTTTAACCAGTTCTACCGGACAGTTGACAAAGCCCATAAATGCTCCTGTGAGAGCACCGGATGTGGCAATTTCCGCTGTAAAATGAGAGATTTCTATCAGTCTGGAAACACCCGCATGTTAATGCTTTATCAAATTATTATATGCGTACATAATGTCAACTGTCGCTCTTTGTCCGGCCCTTGTATCGCATTTCTAATGCGCCCATTTATAGTGAATAGTATTGCATTACTGGAATAATTTGAAATTTTGTTAGCTCATGACTTGCTTTATAAACATAAATATGTAAAAATGAGGTATATACGCACCAAAACCCTATTCCCATTAGCGGCGAAGTAACCCCCTTGTACAACCCCCGAATCTATACAATTTGATTACACGTGAGTAAATGGTAATGAACTACGCGATTGAAAAATGATATGAAGATGGGTACGGTACCCCTTCTTTTGCTATCGTTTTCTTTAGACAGTCTGTGGCATTATTGTATAGCGGTGGGTTTGGCTGAGTTTGCAGACGGACTTTGATGGTGTCAAAAGGGTGGCCTATATATAAGGAGAGGGGGGGGGAGAGATAGAGAGAGACAGTTATTAATACCGGTTATAATGACAGTTTTTCAGTTTGACATGATAACTAGGGAATTGGTAAAAAATGTAGCGAGTATGCACGAGTCATACGTTATAACTAAGTTCTCCGTTGATATTGACCTACGCATACTTGCGCCAACCCAGCAATAGTGCCTGCGGTCGCTTGTTGTATCCACGTTGGCATGGCCAACACATGTACGGTAGCCGGTGTAGGAGGAGCTAGTTTGCTTGCCATTTGTGTTTTCTATACTTTTCCGACGATAAGGGCGAAGGGGCGAATCTATAATTATATATTTATATTTTGATAAACAATGCACCAAAAAAGGTAATAAACCCATCAGATCTTTTTTCATGCAAGATGATGTATATAATAATCGTTGTATAATATCAATATTTTGAACTTAAGATCAAGATGTTTGAAATTAAAAATATTATATAACAGTGATTATCTTCCCGGTTGGAACCGATAAACAAACATGTGACAACCTTTAATAGTAAATTCATGCTGATAAGATTGTATGTTCTCGAAATGGCAGAAACCCCGACTATTGGGATCTGCCAATGCAAAAATTGTGCAGCATCGACAAGCTTCTTTTTAACTGGAAAAAAAAATCAGCAGTAGTACAACAACCACAACAACAATAACAACAACAGGTTGATAAAGAAGCGAATGACAATTAAATTGGGGCTCCTGGGAATATGACTGTAAAAGCAGCTTGCCTTGTAATTGGCAATTAAAAGATTCTTGATTTCAAGAACCCTGAGCGCTATATATTGTTCCACGAGTTGATATTATTCAAGCACGGGCCTGATTATTGTTCGCTTATTAAGCAAAGAGGTTGATTGGTCGGATTTATTTGTCGGCCAAGTGTATAAGCAACGTGTGTCTACTTCGTATCAAAGACGCTTCCAACCGAACCGTTTACAAATATTTGGGGTTTCGCTTTTATTTTTCCAACTACTCTCTTTCTGGGCTAGGTTTCGAATAGTCTTGGCGTTATTTTCTGGAATAGTTTGTGTTATGCATGCTTGTCAATTGGCCCATCATTATTCTTTAGGACTGGTTTGTCTTTGTAATTGTCAGACCCTTCTTGTAAAGTGAGCATTTCGACTATTCAGTTGCACACTGCCTATCAGTGAATTAGAAGTATAGTAAGCTTGTATTATTAATCAACGCCTGCTGTTGTGTACCACCCATTTTATGTACCGATAAAGTATGTAGATGTTTTTATAATCGAAGAGATTATCAACAGACAAAAAAAGGTATCTTTTTTTTTAAATAAAACAAAATAATATATTTTATATTTGTCGTTAATAAATAGTTACTTTTTGGTTAAAGTAAAACATTCCTTTGGCATTTGTTGATATTTATAAGGGCTCTTTCTCAAAGTTATTTAACAAAAAACAAAGGCAATTAGAAATGGTCTGCAATCAATCAGAACAATCGCATATCCAACTGCCCAATATGAGGATTGTTCATCACACAATAGCGCCGTGTGTACAAAAGTAGCAACAGCAGCGGCAGCAAGCAGCAACAACAACACAACAATAATAACGCATCATGTTATAACATAAATAACGCAATTGATACTCTTTCCAGTAAAACGAACTTTATTGACACAGTTGCGAAACGCCAAGTTCTTGTGTTCGCCAACTTTTTTCAAAAAGTGTGTTCGGAGAGCTTGTTCATAACCTGATCTTTCCATACTAGGACGAATAAACGTTAACCCTCCCAGTTGTAGCTTTAACTCTCGTTACACAAAGATATAATTAATTAATCTCTAGTAGTTAATTTGTAAAATGGGGGGCGTTGTAAAGGTTGTGAACGTATCTCTATTGCACACAAATGACATGTTACACTTTATTGTCTCTCATCGTTATCCGTAGTGTGATGCAATATTGATTATCTTCAAGGCATCTAATCAAAAATGTGTGATAATATCTCCCACGCAACGCCCTCAGCATTTTGGGGTTGGGGTGGTAACACGAAGGACTTCTGATAAGAAACACATAGATATACATTCCCAACAGATATACCACACACAACTTACAAACCCCGCTAAACTAGATACAATCCCGACAAACATACCAACCACTTTGTAAACCCGCGCTAAAGCAAGTTGCCAAGCCGGCATACAATTCCAACAAACATACCAGCTACTCCTCTTACTCCGTCGTTCATAATGTTCACTATAACCAACACGATGTCGACCATTCGCCCAATATAAACAACACATATAGTAACGATTGCCAGTTCCCATATCATGATAACCCACCTTATGAAGGGTGGTTGTCTCTCTAGAAAACTAAAATGTGTTGTAGCTAGGATAAGCAAAGCATTACCCAAAGTGCCAAACCCAAATATATCGTTCACATGAAGGTTGAGCGTTACATTCCATAACGAGAACGTCGACCAGGTAAGCGGTTTAGATTGGGAAGATGAGGACCGTCCGGTGAGAAAATTCAGGCGAAATTTTGATTTTGCAGAATGAGAAGACGGGCGTGACGATGAGTTATTGTCAGCAGCAGTGGGATACTGTGACGGCATGGGGATGACTTTTGACGCATCTTTTCGAAACATTTCTTGAGAACGAACCGGCTATTATTGGATATTTGCACTATATATGGACAACGGGAATGTTACACCCACATCTATTGAGATTCTTCTATAATAGGTCTAGATACACCGTTTTAACAAGGTTTCTTGTAGATGAGCGAAGGCTTCTGCTGACGAGTTTAATAACTCAGGTTCCATCACGTTCTTTGTCGTAGAGCCTGGAGGTGCAATCATTTCAATAAACATAATTATGTTTGTATGTTCTGGTTAGACCGGGATAATAATAATTTGGCCCGTTTCAAATTGTCACAATATGATTCGTGTGATTTGTTGAAAATAGTAGTGACAATTTCGAAGCGGGCCAGATATTCCGAAACGACTTCAATTGCAAGGAAAAATGAGAGTATGAATTATTACTGGACTGACCCAACCTTAGATTATACCAGATGAACTGTGTTTCCGATTAGATCTCTACGAGGAACATAAACGCAGTGGTGACCAAATCGCTCAAAATATAACATTAAATCAATCACACCAGTTTTGCATCAACGTTTTCCACAATTGCTTTTAATTGCTCTCGCCCCTTAGTGATAGCACGAGCTATTATGTTTAAATATGTTATCAATCATTATAAGAATAAATTATTTACTTCGTCTATAAGTAATTTTTTCTTCTCTACTAACTTTCCTTTACTTTGGCGTTTTCCATTCTTTCCGTGATACTACTATTATCCAATGTGAGTTTGAAATAAAAGGATAAAATTTTCATGAATAAATAACTCCAATGACTAATAGTGAAACTCTCCAAGTCGGACACGGTGGGGCGGGCAGGGCTTATCAAGGAATCCGACTTATCGAAATGATTTTAATAGGGGATTTTGTCCGACTTGGAGAGTTTCACTATGTATATCTTTTCGTTCGTAGATTCTTACCGCGACACGGAACTTCTATTTTGCTATTTAAAGCCGTCATCGGAATACCTTATATTCGTATTAACACGCATTTACACTAGGTATAGAGGCTTCCAAACTCACGATAACTATTGTTAAAATCTTATGAGATGACAGAGTCTGAACTTAATCCAAAACACGTTTTCTTCCGGACACGCGACTTCCTTAGTCTGAAAGTTATTATCACTATCGCAATATACGATATTTTTGTAAACCATCGTAAATAAAATATTTTCAAGTCGGTAACTGCGAGCGTGTGTCAAACTTAGTATTTGATCAGAGCATTAGGAGTAGTCAGACTCAAAAAACAGCGGAGAACGTGTTTAGTAATGTCCCGATCTACCAATAACACTAATACTTCAATGCGATAACAGAAGAGCAAACCTGGAGATTTATGGCCTAACTTGAGAATCATCCACTAAATAAACAAATTCATCAACAGAGATTGGACAGGATAAACGTTATGGTCACGTTGTGTTAACAATATACAGCTGAAGAAATGAATGCTGGTACTGTTGTCGAAATTGAAAATATTGCTGATAAAAATTGTAGTGTTTAAACGTTTGCCTAGTCCACCAAAGTCATGCTTACTATCTATTGCAATTTATTATGACTTGTTCTTTTTGCTTTGCTGTTTTCTTGCCTAAAATATGTCAGAAAAAGATTTGCTAATTTTTCATACAGCATTAACACATGGTCGTTTATACTAATGCACTGTTGTTAAGCGTTGAATATTTATGGATAAACTTGGATTTAAGTTTTGTAATCATGCACACATGCACCAATATAGGTCTGCAACCTTGAAATCGCAGTCTATGATGATTGGCAAGTTTATTTCCAGACTGTGGAAATTTGGCATTCCCCAACCGAGAAACCACTGGACATATTAACATTAGCCAAATTTACTGACGAACCTGGTCATCAAAGCAACTAATTTTTTTTATAGGATAGCTGAAGTGAGTTTGTCCTCCATCACAACTGCATCACCTAATTGTCATAGCCAAAACTCTTGTTCTGAACCACGCGTCTCACGTGCAAAATCACATGATGTTACGAACACTGTCGTCTAGAATGTTATACAATAGAGCAATAGTGGTCGTGCTCGAAAATTATAAAGACAGTGCGTATGTACTATATATAGTATATCACTTCTGAATTGTAATCAGCTTTACTATTGTTTATACAAGTATCAGCAATACCTCTGTTGCCATTAAAAGAGGCACCATAATAAGCGATCGAAAGAAGGACATACGTTGTGATTGATTTGTGACAAGACACTTAAACATTTCAGCTCACGATAGATGAAAAGGTTGCACCATTAAGAGCATCTCTTGCTTGCGAACTATCCTTTGCCAAATAATATCTTACGAACTGGCTTTGTTTTTAAATGACTGGGTAAACATATAATAGCGATCGGCCGAGAGAATGCTCCATTACAACTAAAAGTTATAACAGACTGTCAGTCCCGAACATTAAATCTGTTTATAAGGGGAAACAATGAAATTTTTGTCCAAGCAAAGAGGTTTATGTTTATTATATGCGAAATTACATTACTTTGAGGCTGCTGGTGGCGCAGACGCTGAACGAAAAAAAAACCCCATTAGCGATTACTCATGACCAATAAACATGTTAACATGTTTACGCGATAAAAGACCAAATGATTACCTACCGGTTAACTTTCATTTTCATTTATAGGTCACTGTCGTTACTCCATCCAACACATCTTGTTGCGGCGTCAACGCCTGCAACATTCACAGTTTCCCAGAACAAGATCAATTGTGGTACGAGAAGTTGTTTGTACCTATATTTCGAATAACATTCCTTCACGCGAAGTCGCTTACGCTTATTGTTGATGTGTTGGACAATGAAATCGGATGGAACGTTTTCGCTGTAAACAAAAAAAGATAAGATGGGATACGTCGTGGGCGAACCTTTTCCAATCAATCTTGGGAAGCAAAGAGAGACGATAATGATGATACATAGGCAAATTGAAAGAGTACCATTTTAACGGTCGGTGACTGGAGGAATAACTTTTCAAGATTCGCTGTAGATTATTGTTGTTCATTCGAAGATATTGATCGGTCATGAAAACGATATGTAGACAATATACGTGTATTTCGCAAAACCATGCGAAAATTTTTCCACTCCGATTTTCATAGACTGACCATCAGCCCCACCCCTCGAGCATCGTTATTTATAGTTATTATTACAGTGCATCTCACATATTAATACGTGTATAATCACATTAGAGCTCCCCCCCTTGATCACCTGAAAGGCGGAGAACAAAAAAGAATCCAGGAATAATAATGTCTATTGATAAAAGCTAATGATTGGCGTGAATCTGAATTTTAAAGTTTGTATTTATTCTCAACACTACACTAACTATGGAATTCAATCTGAATAGGCCCCTTTCTTCTTTAAGGTGCGTTGTCTCCATTTAGAAGCCAATATTTCCTTTTAAGTGCAAGCAAAGAACAAAGAAGAGAGATGCCATTTTGCTTCAGTAGACTAATAAACGAAAAGCAAAACCCATGATCTCCGAACTCCGATAAAGTTATTTGGATGACATACTAACACAAGCGGAGATTAGTTGAAGCAGATGACCCTTTGAAAGTCCCATCGGTTCAGAATAAACTCTTGTGAGAACGTCGCGCTTTGCAGGGACATATGATCGCCTGGCCATTGTCTCAAATAACAAAGCACCTGATCAAAATAAGATATGATAAATTGTTTATATACCATAACAGGATCTTCTGGCAAGAAACTTGTGTGATCCAAGTAAGCGAATTAAAGAGACTATTTGCAATTGTCTGACACATGACCTCAACCGAATTCGGAAAGTCATGAACTTTAGCTACTACTGCATTTTGCTTAAATTGATATCCGCCAAGCATTATCTGTTATTGGTAATCTAAACGGGTCAAACATAATATAATATCAAATGTTTATTCTGTTGTTTATTTAAATTAATAGTTCTTTAAGGTCAAAATAATGATATGGATTAATGCTGAAAACTAATTATAAATCTATTTTTTGTCCTATTAAGGTTTACGACTTTTTTTTTTGTGACGCACGTTCCCTGTCCGATTGCCTCATACTCTTCTAGCTCCCAGTCCGCCGGATTTCTTCTTTTTCTCGCGCAATTCGGCCATTCTCTACAATAAATTCACAACCAGATTAGTGTCATTTTCAATTAGTTGGATGATTATATTATATCCTTCACACCTGACGTCTCTCTTCTCGGCGTTGATGCATTTCAGCAACTCTTTCTTCTTTTGTCGCGTTTGTTGACATTGACTGAGAGGATGACGAGGAATTTTGGGATGATGGCTTTGTAGTCCAGTCATTATCCCAACCATCCTCACCGTTACCCCACCCCGAATCATCCACGTCCCAACCATCCGTCTGATAAGCAACTAAAGACAAAAATGAAACGTAGAATGTTTGATCACCCTTTACATTGACGAAGAACATGTACGAAAACCCTTGTAGCATGTAGTCCAGCAATCTTACTTCGTGAAGTCCCAACAAGTTTCATCGGTGAAGCAGCAGCGGAGACACCGAGCTTCATGCCAACACTAGATTGACCTGCAAGTTTTGGTTTAGATAAACGAACCATACAGCAATTAAGTTTTGATAAACATATACGTATTACGTTATACTCACTCTCGTCCTTTTTCCCGCCAGCTTCAATTGACTCATCACCGCCCCAGCCGTCCGAAGCATCACCGCTAGCATTATCCGCAAACGACAATCTTAATGAACTGGTACTGGTGGCAGGTGACGTGTCATTCTTTCCGGAGCGAATTCCCAAAGAAGAATCATTGGAAGGTGATTGGTTGTTTGACGATCTATCTGGTGCAAGATCTCCCTCACCAGCGAGCTTTTCTTATGAAAGACAAATGACGACAGATAAGCACAAGGGAGTAGATGCTTTGTAGAAGCTGTAAATTAATTTCGCCTGAATAATTTACCTTCTTAGTTAGTGAAGTCACTGCCCAACCACCCCAACTCTCCGCGACTGTTGCTACAGCACCAGCCACTACAGCTACACCACCGGCGCCTGTGCCATTAGATTGTTGTGGTGGAGTCGCACTATCGGGCTTTATCGTGAATGAAATTATGAATGATACAATCAATAATTGTTGATAGTATATCGTCTTTTCCCGCAAAACACTGGAGATGTTTAATTACCATTGATTCCGTTAGCTTCTCTAATCTCTTGACGAACATATCTAGTGTTTTGAATGCTTGTGTGCGTACTTGCCTATTTATTGGATAACGTCATTAGTATACTAAGATATCAGTAAGAGCAACCTGTTTACATACTTCTCCTTATCTATTAAAGCCGTAGAGACACAAGGCACTATTTTCGTTGCGCACTCAGATGCATCGTAATATTGTAATGTGGCTAGTAACAAGGCCGCGATTAGTATTTTAGTGTCAACGTACACGAATTGGTATCGAATAGAATGTGTGGTATACCTGCTAATGCCATTAAGCTAGCAACCCTGGCATGCGGGAATGGATCCTTTAAAGCACGAGTGAATGCAAGGACGAGTACTTTTTTCTTTGTCTGTCGATGAAATTTGTTCAGCATACATTTCTGGCAGCACGGCCGCAGTCTTTAAAACAGATGCTATCTGACATACACTTTCGCTGAAATATTTGCTAATCTTTCCAAGACATATTGTTGTGTTGGTGCGAATTCCTGGCTCATCATCGGTCTGCAGTTTGGCAAGATATCTGAGCAGATCGTTATTCAAGATGCGGTCTGACAGCTACAATTAACATAAAATGCAGTCAGCACTCTGATATATATATAACCCTATACTCAATTACACTTTTGTGTTAACTAACTTTTGGTGCGAGTAGTAAGACAGACTTGACGGTACTTTCTCGAATGATGGGCGCTGTGTCGGTAAAGCCTGTTGCCTGCAATTAGATGATTCGTTAGACCAGTAGTCAACAGTAATTTGCAAAGGTTGTCGCGTTCATATTTACCATATGAGAAAATATCTTATCATTTATAACCTTTTCGCTCAGATGATCAATAAAAATGGAAAAGTTTTCCAGCAAACTCAAACGTATTGTTCGGTCAGGCATAGCAAAGAGCTTTACTATTAGTGCTACTATTGTGGTTTCGTATTCCTCTTCACTAAGAAATGATCCGATTTTAATTATTGGATCGAGCACTTTAGCACCACCTGGGAAATGATTAGAGTAAACCGAAATGAATATTACACATTTAGCGTGAAGAGAGAATCGTTTATACAAATTTGTATGCCGAATATGCGCGCATTTTACCTGATCCATATTCAACAGAGTGAATGAGCTCGGGTAATATTTTGTACTTGCAAAAGTCTCGATGAATATTATCTAATGAAGAATTTAATTTTCTATGTGGATTGTCAGACAATCGTTTGCACATATCAAATAATTGACATGGTACATCCTATCGTGCCAATGACTCACTTGATAAATGCCTCCTTTTCTCTCGCGTCTTTGATGCTCATATGTTCAAGAAATAGAGCAGTTTGAATAAAATCGTCCTGGAAGAATCCCTCATCGTTTAAACCTTGTTCAATAAAAGAGGACATATTAGGCCTACTTCGCGCGTTCTGTGATATCAACTGCTTGTATTGCCGCGCCAAGTTCTTATCAGGTAAGCAAATATGATAATAAATTAATGTGAGCATCAAGCCGCGTAAATTGACTACGATCTTGTTAATCAATGCCTTACTGATGGAATAGAACCCCGATTAGATAATTGGTCTGCTGTGCTGAATTGACCATTGTATACTTCATATATAAGAAGGCCATAATCCCACGTATCTATGACATGCACGTCGAAACTAGTCTCAAATAATAGAGAAAACAGTCATCATATTATTATGGGCATGTTCTGTAATTTATGAACGTCGCCACATTGAAGTTTTCCGTACTCACTCTTTCAACACATTCCAAGACCCTTTAATTATTTCCGGGGATGCATACTTCTTGGCCTCTGGCATTAGACCCCCATAAGTCTACAGGTACAGTGTGCTTGTTAGCTTGACATTCGGTGCGAGATAATCGACTATGCTCAAATATTTTATATTTACATGAATAATGGGAGATTCTTCTTTGATAGAACTCATTAGTTCAAATCCGCCTAGTTTCCATTCTCCGGCTTTATTTGTAAATATCGAAGCTATGCGAACATTTCCGTGAATTATTTGGCAATCTTCATTGAGAAATTTCAACACGTTCTGTAATACAAGAAAAGACGTGTGATATCAGATGGGGATGGCAAATTTGCAAAATACAACAAGATTTTTCTAAGCAGCTTACAGCGATCTTGTATAATCCCCACAGTTTTAAGTTATTATCTATGGATTCGGTCAATCGCGTTTGTAATGGTACCACAGGATCTGTCACGACATAAATATAATCGTCTGTCTAAATGTCAAATAGAATCAATACTTCATTCCATTACCGTAAATACAACCAACACATTCAACTGAATGAAAACCTATACCTCAACACCATCAACATATTTCAGCAAATCAGGATGTCTAATTGTCCGCATCTTCCTAAACGCGTTCTTAGCTAGTGAAAGCCTATCCCTGTTTCTAGCACAGTCAAACGTGAATATGGACACTGGACTGTCATCTTCCTATGAGAAATAACGTTAGATGAATAGAACGAACTAAATTGGTTTGAACCCGAAACCGAAGAATACCTTCTTAGTGCCAGAGCGCAACTCCCATATGGAAACACCATCGTATGAATCTACTTTTGTACCGATATTATAAGGAAAAGCCGGGATGTCTTTTCCCAGAATTGCTCTCGAAAGAGTTGATTTCAAGTAATCCATACTGGAATGGGAAGGAGCTTGTGACAAGAACTAATGCAGATATTTGATAGCGTCACGTATCACAAATCACATTGTGATGTTTTGGAACATATCATGTGATTGTGTATGATGAATAATCAGTTAGCGTTAGTTATTACATGACTTTGCGTCATTATTGTCGGTTAATTCCCTCATTCTCGTGATAGGAAATGGCCAAGATGAACTCATTTCTCCCACACCCGAATAGAATTATTCTCTCTTTGCTTCGCTCAAGCTCAACTTTTTCTGTGGCAACTAGCTATCGCAAAGACTTGCGCGCATAACCGTATTCACCAACTCAAAATGTCTGGAGTCACTGACACAGCTCACGTTATAGCTGATTTCTGCATTAACCCTATGGGATGCGAAGTCAATACAAGCAAGGTACTCGCATATAACGATAGCCATATTTTTTTATTCTTGTTCTCGTAAACCACATTCCATTTGTGATCGACACAGTTATTTATTTTAGTATCTGAAAGAGGTGATTAAGATTGTCGAAGAGTCTGGGTAGCGTGTCCGAATGTGATAACATTAAAAATCGTCGTATGCATTGTAATTCTAACGTTACTCTTTTATTCAGACTTAATTTTCATATGCATGCTAATGGAACTAACATAGGTATGGTACCATTATGACGTGATTGCTATCGATGGTTTGTTGCGCGTTTTTTTTAATACGCATTATCTCTACATTGTGCAGAGGGCAAGTTCGATGACGTAGTGTCTGTTATTCGGAAGTGTATTGATAAAACCCATCATATGGGATGCCCTCGTATCGATACTACTATCAGGTTTCAGGTGAGATAATAAGGAAGTGTGGTCATACATGAAGCATAAGTTAGGGTATGCGCGAAGCAAGTTAGGGCAGGCTCTCATTTGACGCGTCTTCCGTTTCTTAGACTCGTACCGACAAGTCCAAGACTATCAATGACAGGTAATCATCATGATGCTTATTCTTCTGCACGTCGTCCTAATAAATATTGACCATCTTGTTTTTATAGTATGAGCATTGCCAAATCAAAGATATGAAAGCTGTTCTTTAAAAGTAACATTTTTAGTAAGATTGCGGTTAGCTTGTTAAAGTATTCATTATTATTGTCAATTTAATAAATGTGAACATTTTGTTTTATGTGGTGAAACGTTTGATTGAACTCGTAAATTTGTAATTGCCATAAACTGGTTATCTCTATCACGTAATTACAGTGTTCTCATAGAATGACTATCAACAGTACAATTGTGCGAATACAAAGTTGGTAGAAAATATTAAATAGTATATTTTATGATACCGTACCGTATGTTGAATAGAACCGCAAGACTAATACATGGACGGTTCAAAAAGTTTAGACACAAGATGCATAACATTTTTATTTACACAATAAATTTTAATTTAACTGTCCCATTCCTTCAAAATAATATCTATACGACGTCTCAGCCTTCTACGCCAACTCTGAAAGCCCTCAGAATACCGTTCTTGTGGTTTGCTATTTTTTATTGATTTTATAGTAAAGGAAGCTTTTGAATTCACTCGCCCACTTTCCGCCAAGCCTTTTTTTTTTGAAAATGAAAAATAGTCGTACAGTGACCATAAAGCAATAGCGATAGGCAATGGTAAGTATGGGGAAGTGGAGGAGGTTATCGCGTTGACGCGAAAAGGCGTAGTGATGGATGCCGCATTGTAGGCCTATGAGGGGACCTTTAACATATGCTTTCTTGAGATAGCATAACTTTCTGAATATTTTCAGTGCCAACATTGGGTGTTAATAATATTTTCGATGTGTTCGAAAGTGTAACGGCTTCGTGAAATGTTCAGAACGGAGGATCCATCTTTGATGCTTGATTGAATGCTTCAATCCAACAATAAGTAATACATTTGAATAGTGTTTTATTCCCTCTAACATTGATTAGCTCCCTGTGATTGCCGTCAGCCTTTTACCATTCTGCCAGCACACCCAAGGTAGATTATCGCGAGTAAAATTGTTAATAGACAACAACCATCAAACTAAAATGGATCAAAATTTTTATCATCAATTAGAGACATTTTACTAATACTAAACGAAAGTAATAAGAGGTTGCCGAGATAATTATGCTGTCCCAAACTTTTTGAACTTCCCCCACGTAAATTTTGCACGCGCAAAGTGCATAGTTTGACTGCGGTTTTTGTGGTGAATTGGTACACATCTACTATTTGAATTTATTGTATTTCTTGACCTATAAATTGGTCTCTTTACATTAAACAAGTCATATGATCGACCAAATATATTTAATCCAATGAACCTTTTCTTAATCGTTCTCTGATTCATCCCACATTTCATGGGATTGCTCTCTCACAAGTGTTCCTGGATGATTCTCAAGTACGCCCAAACTTATTGTTATCACGTACAAAACAACAGTAGACCGATTAATGTCGTGGCTTGTATCTTTTGTTTGTGGCGTTATTATTATGATTCATTAACCATCACGTGATAAGTATAATAAAATACTACACAGATCAGTAAATATAGGTAATGTCTCACGATACCTCATTCGTTTCTTCTCAAATTTCGTTGTTTTTTCTCCCTCCCATGTTCGGCGGTCAATCGCACTCAATGCCAACTCGCAGACAAGCAAAAAAAAGACCTCCCATAGTGCATCTACCGTATCTAAAGACACATAAATGCAATTGGTTAAGATGCAAGTATTACTTTCTGACTCCACAAGAGTTGTTTGGTCATATACAAAAGAGACATTTGGAGAAACTGTTGACTGTTAGTATATTTACTTGTAAATGGAATAACTGTGATGAGTTTAAACTATCACAAAATGAACTATTAGGGCATATTAGAGAGACTCATCTGAAATACAGAGGAGTCAGAGGTGAAGGGAGGGGGGAAGAAGAATCGGGGACGAAGGTAAAAGAAATCGCAAAGACCAACCAAGTAATTTGGTACTCATTTTTGACAGGTAATTCGTCAATATTGACGACTAGTTTCACATATATTAATTCTTTTTAGAAAAAATTAAGAAATCTCCAAGTGGAGAACGCTAACCTCAGAACTCGCCTGAAATCAAATGAGAAGAAGATATTTTTACTGAGAAATCAGTACGAGTCAAACAAATCAAATCTCGATGATATTCTCAATGAACTTGCTCGCTGCCGTGAGTCCATTGACATTATCCAGAAGCAGAATCGTGCATATGACGATTTAGCGCGCAGAGAGTGGGCTGAAGAACAATGTCGTAATATAGAGGAGGTTTATATGGATGAGGAGACCATGGACAATGTTTTTGAGGATGAAGCCAGAATAAAAAGAAACTGGGAAATGGATGTAGAAATGTCTCCTCCGTCGTCGGATGTAGATCTGAATTGTAAAGGAACTTTTCGATGTTCTTGGAAGAATTGTGGGCAGTTATTTATGGATAGGGCATCATTGAAGGCGCATGTACGATGGATACACATAAGCAATTCACAATTACAGTCTCCCGCTAATCAATAGACTTCTTTACAAAAATTTTGGATGTAAAATAGATGTATAATCAAATGGACTTTATAGATAACACAATTCAATTATCATGACATACATGAACATACAAAATCATGTTATGTATCCAATTGGATATGAAACAAAAAATACTGTAGAATAAATGAACACATACTATATAACAAACTTAGACAACAGCAGTTTTTCAGTAATATAAATCAGTATTCTGATATTTAATTGCTCTTCTCATTACTGCAGTACTGTAGCAACAGTGCATAAAAAGAGTATATTATTTAACATTTACTGGCGTATAATTATATACTACAACAACAGTTAAATGAGGAGTTGAAAAGCCAATTCCTAATACTAGTACTAGGTGTGCAATTCAAATCATTTGATTTATAAAAATAGTAATTTCAAAATAGTCATCATTTTAGGACACGGAGGTCTCTCATGTGGCCTGATGTACCTGGTTATGGTGGCCTGATTTTGTAATAGTTTGATTTTGTGGCCGCAACCAAATGAAGAAAATATCGACTGATATTCAAATATAAATGGCGTGAATAACAACCAGTTGATGCTGGAATTGGCTAATTGGGAAAATGACATTTCCCCACTTTATGTCATTACCATTGGTATTAGATTTCAAAAACGGTTGATTGAATGAGCACGATGTTGCTATTTTTCCGTTGCGAGCTGTCAAATTCGTTTGATCCATTCGAGCCATTACACTTGCAAAAATCACGTATGCGCATTAGCAAAAAATAAAAGTTTTGAATCCAACTTCTGACCACTCAAACATTATGAAACGTGTATCGCAAATGCTTGTTCCCCGCCCTTACTCGTGCTTGATCTACGAGTTACTGAGGCATTTTACCAGAATATTGTTCTGTGATAATTTTAACTAATAATCGCGCGACAGAATTTGTAAATTGAATTTACCTCAATTTATTATTATCATTTAATTCTGTGTCAAATGGTTATTTTGATCCACTGCACTGCTCTGAAGCTAATATTAAACATTGGACCACGATATGTAGAAGTTTCATGCGATCTACTCTCGAATATTCAGTGAACGATTCAATTTAAAAACTGTTTATTTTGTAACTGTGTTAATGAAATAAATATTACACGTGGACATAGTACTAATTCGTCATATGACTTTCACAAAGCTACCTTTGTAGAATAATTTTGTTGGCCCGTTTAATGAGTGAAGAAATGCAATGTTTATTGAATGTGCGTTTGAGAATGATCACGTTTCATATTACTGTGGTGGTAATATTTATATAAATAAGGTTGCTTCTATTCTTGTCTTGAATAACCTAATCGACGCAGTCGACCAGACAAACACTACACCATTTATTTACAACGATTCGGCCTAATGTTCGCAAATTTACACAAAATATCGAAATGGTCTAACTCGAAGACTAAGAAATATATATTATCGAGATAATGCCTTGTTTCGATTTTGCTTCCTTTTTTTTTTTTTTAATTCTACACCAAAACACGATTTAATTAATTATAACCACCCTAGTGAAGTATTCTATGTGCCAGTTCCTCCATATTTTCTACCATTCTCTCCGGGTCCCACATTTCCAATTCTTTATCGTTTTCTTTCCATCGTGCTTGTTGTTGTTGTTCTAAAGCACGTTGTCGTTGTTGCGCTCGTTGTTGTTCTCTTAATACTCGTTCCTTCTCTTTCCGTTCTTGATCCTTTTTCCACTTACTCCAAGCTGGGTAGTCTATTAATGCTTGCATGCAACCCCATTCTTGTATTTTTTGTTTAAGCCAAATAAGCGAGACAGGTTTGGTCAAGAAGTCATTGCACCCTGCTGCGAGCGCATTTTCTTTATCTTGTCGTGATGACGATGCTGTCAGAGCAACAATTATAACGGGCGCGCGCATTTCGTAATTCGGAGATGCAGCAGGCGATGAGTTCGGAATTGAGTCCAATACGCCTATGTTCTGTAACTGTTCTAAACGACGAATCTCTCTGGTGGCTTGTATCCCATCCATTACTGGAAGTTGAATGTCCATCTACGATAGATCAATGGTTAAATTTAGACTGAAAGTTTTTTGTTCGGATAAAAAAAGGTTTGAATGTTTCCATACGTACCAAGACAATGTGGAAATTACCATTTCGCCATCTGTCAACAGCTTCTTGCCCATTGTTAGCGGTTTCATGTCTTATCTTGAGTTTGTTCAAAAATGTTTTTATGATGTTTTGATTGATTGGATTGTCTATTAAAAACAAAATCAGCCTTAATATCATCGTTTCACGTTCTATTAATTTATTAGTTTACACAACATTTAACATACCTTCGACTATCAATACATTGATAGGAATACTTGCTGGTTCTCTAGGCTTTGGTGGAGGTTTATTTCGATTATTTGTCAAACCGTTAGGTGATTGTAAGACTGGCGAGCTTATTGGTGTAGAAGCAGTTTGCGGTCCGTTGACTGATTTCATAGCACCACCAACAACAGGCGATGGAGGCTCTGAATATACCCTTCCAGATCCCTGTAGGTTTTCTACTCTAAGCGATGTTTCTTTCTCCACCCCTTTTATGAATATACCACCAAGTGGCTTAGCATTCTTAGGAATAACTAATACGCCTCCTCCCGGTCCCGTCCTCGGACTTGATGAGCCACTTCCGGGTGATCTTCCAACTGACGAAGAAGAAGTAGACATGGCTGCAGCACTGCTAGAAAAATATGTATTGGTGGGCTGTTCTGTGACATCTTTGCTATACTCCGCTTCGCTATTGTATCCTGGGTGGCCTGGACTCATTGGCGATGTGGCTATAGGCATAAAGACAGGATCAACTACAACCTTATTGAGAGCTGTATGCAATGCGGTGAGAAACCGTCGTGGACCAGCTGGTTTAGGAATTACCAGTACTTGAGGTAGCGGATATGATCTAGAATCCGTGGGAGGGAAGACCGTTTGAATCATATCCTTTACCAATTTATATTTCGATAAAGATGTAAAATGTATGATCGCTGTATTGGGTTGTGAGAGGCTTGGAACTTGCATAGGATGTTTAGTTCTCGATTGCCGATTATTGTTCATAACAACGCCTGTCCTATGAGATTGTGAGTCTTTCTGTGAAGTTAGCCACTGCCTCAGTGCCTCAACATCATCATCAATAATAATAAATGTTGGCACCCGTGCATTGCGAGCGCGTATTTCATCAACTTTGTCACATTTAGTAGTTGAACTCGATACTGTGGTATTGGGCGCTGATGACGATGATTTAGAATTTGGTGCTGAATCTGACTGCCCTGTTTCTGATCGTGGAGTCTCCAAGTCTTCTTCCCCTCCCACAGGATGATGCGAAATGTCAGTTCCCCAGGTGGTCAAACAACTAGTTAGATGCTTAGCGAAAGAACTCTTGCTAGTCGCATATAAAGCAACTCTTAACCCACGTAGGCGCTGAGAGAACTTGATTAACTCTTCGATAGAAGGTTCACCAGACATGGCAGAATACGAATTTCGTTTTCGCGTATCCTCGTCTACAAGTGAGCAATCAGGTGGTGGACCGGCATCCATCTCCAAACTGATAGAGTAACGTTTCTTTCCATCGCAAGTCTCTGTTATCAATGTAGCACCCAGGACGCTCAACATGTTATTAGCCAACAAGATAGCTGGATTGGGACTTGTTGCCTCAGTGACTGACGGGTTAATTGCATGGCTTATTTCAATCGTACAATTGAATTTATCGTGTGATCTATTAGGCTGATTGTTCGCTGGCAGAACTTCTCCGTAATTTGACGTCTGTACTTGAAGACCCAACTCGATAGAGCCTCCAGGCTGTATTTGATCCATGACACGCTTTAGAAGATACATACAAGAATATCTGAGTGCTGATTCATCGCCAATGACGTTAAGATGGTGAAATGCATAATCGACGTGATATATTATTAACTCGACTTGCGCAACTGCAGCACCGCCTGCTGTTGCATCGCCTATATTCTGCACCATCTGACCAATATCAAAACAAGTTCTCACATCCGACAAAGGTATACCAGATGGTGTAGCATATATTAGCTTAGATAAACGTTCGATGTGTGTTGAAATGTATTCGATAGCCTTGAGTGAGGTATGCACCGCATCTATGGAAGCCGTCGGAACAGGTATCGAACAAGCCGTCAACTGCTCATGCGAGCCGGAAAGAAAATTGGATGGTGCTAATTGCTCGATCGTTTCCAGTGCCATCTGAGTGTTATGACACAGCAGAGTGGATGCAGTGTCCAAAAAATTTTGTTTTCTTTCTTTAATAAGCTCTATTGTATCAGAAAATGCACGTCGTGCCTTAGAACGCTCATCGTAGAGAAGAGCCTGCCGTCTAAAATTCTCTCGAGCATATGCGCTTAGTATTTTATCAAGTACCAAAAAACATGGTGCTGCTATACATGTTCCCAGACCAACAAATTGAAAATAATCCATGACCGAGGAGCCATACGGATGAAATTTTTCCTTCACCTCTTGATTCTGCAACATTACATGAAATACGCTTATTACTATTGCTCCTGTTAAGGCTTCTTTAATTACTGAGGCTAATTGAGCTACATTCCATAGCCGCCGCAGTGAAGATACCCAGAAGGCCACACTGACCACAGAAAAGAGCTCCCAGAACAGGGTGTAGCGTACTAAGAAACCACATACAGCAGCATGTAGAGAGGCAAGAAGACAAACTACTAATGCTAACGTCGTGGCCTTCATAAGCACTTCGACCACATCCCCGACTAGTAAATCGAGCGCAGGTATTGTCGGGATGTTTTCAAACTCCTCTTTTATTGCAGAACGATCTTTCAAGTTTCTGTTTTCCTTAACGGAATTGCTCATTACACTTCTGCTTTTAAGAGACGACTCGTACAAATGTACTTGCTGAAGGTATAACTGGAATATGGATCGGGTTTCGGCATTCATACGTTATATATACTTTCCATACTAATAACGCATGTGCTTCGAATTCTAGAACAAATCGTATTTAAGTTAAAAACAGCACGAGTTTTTATGTGTGGGGCGGTGTGACAATGCTTCAGTTAAAGGCAGTTAAGGTTACACGGTACAACCCTGACTAACCTTCGCTATACTAACAGCTCTTCTCATAATACCAATGTTCTTCTTGAATAAAATAGTTTATTAGATCACTGGGAAAAGATTTCGTGGCACAAGTTTTATTACATTTTAAAACCAATGCCACGAAAGACAAAAAAGATGTCTCAATATAATGCACCAGTCGTTTCTGAAGAGGAATATGAGGTTGAATGCGTACGAGATAGTCGCATAATAAACGGCGTGGAACAGTTTCTGATCAAATGGGCTGGTATAGAATAGTGTTTCTTTTGTGTTGCAGTCCCTTTATACCCCAGAAATGTCGCGTTTATTTATAAAAACATTTGAACAAACTTTATGCGAGTAGGTTATGATGAAAATAGTTGTACGTGGGAGCCACGCTCTAATCTCAACTGTGAGCAAAAACTACAAGATTATTTTGATCGAAAGAATAAAACGTTCGGACAGCATCAAGAAGCCGCCAAAGATTCTAAAAAAACCGTAGAAGCTGGACAAAAACAAAAGGATTTAGAAGAACCAAGATTAACTAACCACACTAGCAATGCTGGTCATACTGAGCAAGAGCACTATCGGAAATTAACTGCGAGTCAAAAGAACAAGCAAAGTCAATCCGCGCAGTCGAACTCTGTAAATCAAACGAAACTAAAAGATGCTCCGACCACCACACACTCAGCAAAACCACAAAGACCACCAGTAAAACCTAGTGAACATCTGTTAGCAAATCAAAAAAAAAACGAAAGCGCAAAACAGATTCAAAATCCTGCCAAGACTATATTTGATAAACCGCCCAAGACGTCAAATATTTTACACACTCCACCAGTATTAGTGAAAGACGAGTTTGAAACGGGGATGCGAGGGCTAAACAAACAGTCCGGACGACCAGTCAAATCTGCCCATGCAAAGAACCGGTCTAAAGACGATATTGGGCCACAGAACTCGTATGTCGGTCCAATACGTACTAAAACTTCAATGTCTTTTCCTCAAACACCTTATGCACGGCCTGACGCTTCAAGGAAGGACGTACAACCTTCTTCGTGGATGTCGTCTTCGGCATCATATGTACCTTCTGCATCATTACCCTCGCCGACGGATACTTCACCGTCGTCCATAACATCAGACAGGGACAAAGTGGAGAAGCTAATGGCAATAAAACCAAAAAAAAAGAAACCAGATCAGTTGAATTCTCAACCAATGATTCCTCGGAGTTTGACACCAACTGCCCCAAAAGAATGGAAAGGTTTATTGTACAAAACCAAGAATGACAGGTTGGTAGGGACCATATCAATAAAACCGTTAAGCGAGCGATGTGATGAAATATTGATGTAAGTAAAAATGGATAGGTTGTCTCTTTGAGGCTTATGTTGTGATGATTAAAAGACTTTTACTCCACATCCAGGCATGAACTCAGAGATGAAGAGAGGCTTACCCTTGACAACATAGTGGTTCAGAGCTTTGTATTTCACTTATATAAACAATTTCCACAGGCATTGTATACGATGCACTCATCACTTCCTCAATATCAATTAGAGCAAACAGTGTTGCCATTAAAATTCAGTGAGATGGTAAGTTGTCGGGTGTTTATTATTTATTGCGACTTTTAAAAGAAGCCATGTTTAAGGTCTTCCTGATTTATGAATAGGTCGGCGTTATTTGGCTGCCACGTGTTGCTCCACAGAATGTGCTATTTGCGATTCCGACATCAACCCGGGCTTGTGAGGTTCTCCGTGTTGCCCGACCAAATGAACTTTTCATTCTTTTTCGTTTTTCCTTGGCACATGCTCCACCCCGGCCACAAATATCAGCATTTCAATCGAAATCTGGTTATTCTCTTGTGCGTCCTGAGGAACTTAAAGATCCTGACAGATTTGACGCTGAGTTGACAGCACAACTACTAGGAAATATCCCATCAGAATTTGTGGCAGCACTATTCAATAAAGTCTTTACGATAATAGCGCCGGATGAATGTCATTATGAAGTACGAGACATGCGATTATTTCTGTGCACAATGCGTGGCACGTATAAGCAATTTAAGGAAACTGATCTGTTTGATGTGGACGTTATATTTGTAAGTCTCAGGCAAAGCCTTTTTAATGCGTATACGTCTTGTTTAATAGGCTTTTAATCGAAAATTTGCAGATACACCGTGCTATGATGAAGAATTGCGACACTTTACCTGACATTACTGCTGTGAAGAGAAAGAAGAACGTGAAGTTCTTTTTGTTTGGCCATTATCTTTCAGATGGGCCAAACCCTGGGCTTCCTTGTGAAATATATACATCAGGTTGCTACTTGTCTGACATTGAAGATGTATGTCAACCGAAAGCTTATAAAATCAATTCACATGACAGGTGGACTGGTAACTATAACGTCTCAGGCCCTTTTTGATGATACTGTTGATATTATTAGCAAACTTGTAGAGTTCAGTAGAGCAGTAAGTATATATAATCCGCTTTGGCATATATACCTTTAGCACTTGGAGCAAGATATAATCACATTTCTCATTTTCAGCAAAAGCTTTCACGCCCATCAGTGGTGTGGAAGATAAGTATACACAAAGACACCATTAATTACTTGGCTAATGTTAAGGATGATCCATTACATCCAGAACAAAACAGGTTAGTTGTATATTTAGCAAACTTCTTATCATTAAGTGTGTACATTAATCTTTTGGTCTTTTTTTTTTAAAAAAAAAATTTTCTAGGGCACAAGATGTAATGCAGGCAATCAGTCTGAAATTGACACATCAACAAATTGATGTAATAGAAACTGTTTGTCCACAAAAGGTACATGATGCGAACAATGATTTATTTTCAAAATGAAAATCTAACAATATAATTAATTATTAGGGTGATGATTTAACCATTGATGAAGTACTATATTTGTATATGCAGCAATTGCACCTCAGTCACTACAGTGAATACAGATATTTTATTGTGATTGATGTTAAAAAAGATATAAAATTACGTATACCAGGGGTTTGTATCCTTTCATGTATAATATTTTGTGTGTATGGTTCTATCATTACAAGACCTGTATTTATATGTGATATCTGTGAGCATATTTTTAACTTTCATATGGAACATGGAATCTGATTCAGAGTTTCTTACTAATTATAACGAAAAATTTGGACTAATTTATAGGTGGAATCTCTAACTTACCAGGAGTTCAGGCATAGGTTTATTTTGGACAATCAGTAAACAAAAATCTGTTGATCTGTGTTGGTCAGTTCATGATTGTAAAGACTAACAAATGGCGTAACTTGCTTCAAATGCAATGCAACATTGCTCTTTACTATTACCATTTTATACTTCAATGATGCTACATAATTTAATTTTGGATAGTACTAATGTTGCAATAAGTCATTCCACTTGAATTATGATTGAATGAGACTGAGAAACACTGTTTGACAAGAATCACATTTCACTGTAACTGTGCTTTTTGTAAATAATTAATACACTATTGGTATATCTAAGTATAAAATATGGGACACACAGCAACAAAATTACAATACTAAATACTACAAAAGATTTCAGGTCAAACTGCTGGAGGCTTTTTTGTCATATTTTTATTTGTCATGTCAATTATATAATAATTAACTACAATTGCATAGTAATAGTAATAGTGATGTAATAGTAATAGAAAGCTGAAATCTATTATTATTACTATATTAATATGATGTAGATATTAATATGCATAATCCACCTTTTATATTCACTGGGCAGCAAACCTGACTAATACTAATACTAATGAAAAGTTCTCAAATCCTAATCCTTTATCAAATGGATTGCTAACCACCTAAACCATCAGCAATTTCATCAAATAAAATATTCAAAGTATTAGTATTATATTTTGTTAGGAGAACTGGCTACTACTACAAGAATGATGAATCAAGGTAGGAATAGAAAAAAATTGATAGTCAGCATAATATCATATCAAGCATATTAATATTAATATTAATGCTAATGGCAGAAATGTAACGAGTAATGGCAATAAAAAGTAACCACAGCATGGATACAAAATCACCTACTATTACTGTCAGCTGCAAAAGTATAATAGACAAAGTATTATATTAGTTGCAACCAGCATATGTAAGTTGCTTAAATCAATGGATGAAATAGAAAGTAGATATGATTATACTTTAAACTTTACATCCTCAGCACATCCTGTAATGCCTTCCAACTAGTCTTGCTCCATTACATAATTTGTCTCAACCCTACACATGTAATGCATTCCTACCATTGAAAAGAGTTATGTATAACTTAACCTTTGATTATGATAGGCTCCAACTAATAACATCACAACTGCCTCTCATGCAATAGCATTGATACTTTCTAACTATTCTCCTAATAAATGTGTATTCAATGCTTGTTTGAACTTACATTCCTTTTTGATTACATCATAGTAATAGGAAACAATCTTTCACAATTGTAATGTATATTCTCCAGCATGTTGTGTTGTTAATTAAAGAAAACTTATGCTGCGCTAGATTGCCCTGTTTTTCGTGCATGTGATCGTTCCTATGATTCTCTGGCTAATCACTAGATATTAATATTGATGAGTAGACGTCTTTCATCGAAAAACCGTGATGTGCGTTCGAAATTTTTTAGTCGATAACCGTCATTGTTAGAAAACTTGCTCGTGAGGTTTCGCGAACTATCATGTCATACGGAGCGGCGACAGAGGATTGTTTGTTGTATTTATGCTTTGGATGAGGTGTTATAAGGGTCTAATTCATTTCCCTGACAATTGCTCCTAATAAATATTTTGACACTCGGTTATTCACAGGCGCAAACATTTCTATTCAATATTTGTTCAAAGATAACTTTAACAGGAATTATCGGAAAATAATTGTCGGGGAAATAATGTCGGAGAATGAACGGATTGTTCGTAAATTGAGTGTCATTTGGAGCGACGACCAAGAGTATTTACGCTTTAGAGGAGATGTTATCGTAAAGCAATGCATGCGAAATAAAGAAAAGCGTCTGGACGTATACGTGTGAGTAGCGTGTCTTTAAAATTAATTTATTCGTGAGTTGTAGCAAACACATCATGTAGTGGCAACAAGAATTGCTCTTGTCTGGGCATATATATCTGTGTGTTCGCGTGTTTCAATGACAGAAGATGACACTGTTGGATATATGGTTCATAATGACATAATGACGCGACTGTCATAATTGTTTCCGTAATTTGTAGTTGTCACGAGCTAGCGATCCGTGGGATAATTTGTTGTGATAAGCCTTGATAATGATAACAGCGTGACCTATGTAGTACAGTGTGACTTTAATAAATGTCTTAGTTCACACCTAACTATATTTTAAAAGTTACGACTTTATGTACTACGATTACAGGTGTAAATTTAAACAGTCATATGTTGTAGAAACATTAAAAAGAATCATGGAAAAATGATTATTTTCTGTTGTGTACGCGTGGTTTATCGATAACAGCTAGCCCGTGACAATTACAAATTTTATGACTTGTGAAAGAATTTTACAGCGTGTGTTACACTGATACTATTATCTTTGTTTACGGAAACAATTATGACAGTCGCGTCATTATGTCATTATATGTTACATGAACCATATATCAATGTAGGTTCTCACACCCCTCACTGCATAGATAACAGCCAACATGTGTCATCTTCTGTCTCTAAACACGCGAATACGCGCCTGCTCATACAGATATATATACCTCCCTCTACTCTACTCTCTCTCCCAAAAGCAAATACAACGTTATGTAAAAGACTAATAATACACTGTAACAAACAATTTATCTCATATTATGCACATATGGCACGAATAAGCCAATAACTCGTATCATCAACAACAGTTTTATCGACTAGCTACATATCGCTTCATAATAACTCTCCTCCAACGCGAAAACACGACTTGTTAAACGTATAACGAACATCCTCTATTGCACTCTATATTACAGACATACGACTGTCGCCACAACTCATGAAGAAGTTCTGTTTATCTGATAAAAGAGTTCAAACACATGTCTCTCATAATATGCACTTATGCATCGCTGAACACGATATCTCCTCCTCCTTTGCCAATTGCTCCACATGACACGATAGCTGTCTAAGCTCAACAAGTCTTCTAACAACGGCTCGGTTATCGACCAAATAAGCGACAAAAATTTCGAACACACATCTACTTGTATACACTCAAACCATTGTGCGTGTATTGTTTTACAACAACTTCTCTTCATCCAAAGCACACACAAACAATCCTTTACGACACTCCATATTGCGCACACATGCATTTTCTACAACTCACGAACAATGCTCTTCTAACGATACGGTTTTTCGATGAAAGAATTCAGACACGCGTCTACTCATATGTATACACCCAGGCACTTCTCTCTATTCACTCAAAGAATAATTACGACAAACTATTATTTGCGACCACTTCATACTACGCAAATCTTTAACGATACGGTTATCGGTCACCAACTGATGAAAAGAGTTTAAACACACGTCTACTCAGATATATACACGTCCGAACGCTTCTCTATATTGCGCATCGCTTCACAACACATAATTCAAAGCACAGATACAAAATCCCTGTCGCCACTCATATACTATAGTTGCTACAACAAAGTTTTAACAAAAGAGTGCGAACATTCCACTTTTCCAAGTTAACATTTATTATGGGTAGATAAAAATATTTTTATTAATCAACTATTGCTCTTCGATTGGTTCACCAGGTGGCTGCTCTCCTTTGTCTC